TGATTTTAGGTACCAAAATAACAACCTCATGCTGACTGAGGAAGACGCATAAGCACTATTTTCAAACAGCTTTGGATTTTCTTAGTAAACTGTTCTCTCAGCTCTGCTTGCGATGTAATTACTTCCTGTCCAGCAATAACAGAAATGAGAATGTCTTAGGCAATGTCTTTTTCCTCCAGAGACAATGTGAAATGGTGTTCAGAAAGGTACAGAATTGTAATGTAGTCACAGGAAAAAAACCAGTAATCAAGCGTGGAGGTTAGAGGGGGAAAAAAACCCAAACCTTGATTAGAATGTGTATAAAACTGCCTAGAATGCATCAGACCTATAAATAAACCGGAGGAGAAAAATTTAAGCCATTGTTAGTAAACAAAGGAGCCAGTAGATGGCATGAGAGACCTCGAGATTCAGCACAAAGCTCAGACAGGGACTAATAGCTACCCTCCTCTGCTACCTTCTGTGCTGTCTCTGGTTTTAGGCCTAACTACTGTATTTGCTAGATTCCTGAGGTTTCTTATTCATCAGCTACACTTAGATCCACACAGTACATTTATTTTTAGGGACAACTAAAGTTCATTTAATAACTGATTTAAACACGCTGAGTAAAAGCCTAGCTCTATTGAGTTTAACCATTGATTTCAGTGGGGTTAGAATTGTACCCGTTATCTTTTTTGAATGCTCATACTGTGGAGCAGGCATTTCATTTCCAGGAGGGGTCTGATATTAATGGTTTTGTCCTTTCCTATCATACTGCAGCTCCTTTCTCTGGAACAGAATGACCATGCTTTCCTGAGAGTCACTGTGTCATTTAAAATTAGTGAATCAAAAGAGCCAGGTCTGATGGACAAAAGGTTTGTTGTCTTTGTCTAGAATACAAAAGACTCCGTCTCCAACAGCTTTTTGCCTGTTCCACTGTAATATCAGGATCCAATTCTAGACTTTTATGAATAATCTACTAGGGTTTAACCAAAGCTGACCGTGAACAAATTAAGTACATTGTTTTGATTTTTTCCAAATGTATAGTTATTTTACAGCTGGATGAATCTGAAAATGAAAACCTTCAACTTAGCAATAAAATACACTCGTGTGGTTAGGAGATCTAGTGGAAAAATTTACTTTTCATCTCTGGAATTGCTGAAGAACTTGCAAAAGACATACAAGACTATAAATTTATAAGCACTTCTCACTCTGTCAAGTAGGTAAGTATTCATATCCTCCTGATGCAGAAAATGAAGCAGGGAAATCCCAAGCCTCATGGAAAAAAGCCACATTACAAAGTTGCAAAGCCAGGATTAGAACTCAAGCCTGTCACATGCTTTGCACTATGTCTTTTTTTCTGACACTCATTTTTTCAAACAATACTGAAGTGCTATAATTGCAAGGTCATTTTCCTTGATTACTACAGTAAAGTCCGAAGTTGATTTATTTGTATCATTGAGAAGCACTAGTAAAGAAAAATAGAGTGCATAAAAGCTCAGACTGTGAAATACACATTTTAAAACTCAGTAGGCAGCATAACTTTGGTTTGCTTTATAAGATAGGGCAGGCATGATTTCCAAATGAGCTTTAAATCTGGACTCCAGATATCCTCCCAGATGGGTTAGAAATGTCTGTGTGGTATATTAGAAACTGCAGAATTAGCTTTTTCACACGTGTACTGTTAATGCGCCTCTTAGTTCCTTTGGCAAAGTGGGCTGTTTCTCAGTGTTTTCCTTTGATGTGCCCAGTGCCAACCTCAGGCTTTTCTGAGTTTCATTATATTTGGATTTTACCGCTGCAAAATCAGTGAAGTCTTTCAGTCAGTTAAATATATTCAACTGTCTCAGTAAGAGGGCACTAATGAACAGGAACCAGACAAAATGAAAGCTGCCCCTTCAAAATGGAAATAATATGAGATGTGTCTAACCTGTGCCCTGAACAGCCTGCTGAAATGAGTATGTCTTGGTTTCACTAGTGATTCTTTCTCATCTGGCTGAGCTCGCATCCTGAATGGGGACTGTTTTACTGTGTGCAGCGATGGTGAGTGAATCCCCTAGTCGTGGCTCTGACGTATCCCTCCTCTGAAGGGGCAGAGCCCCGGAGCAAGATGGGGCCAGGTTGCTGGCAATTTCTGTGGAGTGGAAGCATTAAGGGAATTGCATGTCTGCTCTGTGAGTGAGCTTCGGAGGGGTGATTTGTTAGAACTGGAGTTGAATTCAGCTCCACCTCTTGAATTTTGTCTTTCCTTCCTTGTGTCTGGGACTGTGTGGGAACTCTGCATTTCTTTAGGATTGCTGGGCTCAAACCACCATGTCACCCTGCTTTAGGAGCATTAATGCCCAGCAAGCAGTACAGCTGACAGAAAGGGCTAACCGAGGTGGTTCTGTTGGGGGAAAGGCATACGCCAGTGGTTTTAGCATGAGCCTGATGCCTTTGTTCATCCATGACAATTTCGTAGAATCACAGAATGGTTGAGGTTGGAAGGGACCCCTGGAGATCATCTAGTCCACCCCCCCGCCCCCCGCTCAAGATGATCTCCAGAGGTCCCTTAATTTAATAGAAGGAGATATGTAGGTATTCAAGGAGCTTTCCTGGTGGCTCCCTCTAATTGTTGGGGCACCGGAGGTGCCTTCTTGTCAGTGCAGAATCTAAATCAGGGCTTCTGCAAGAGCAGGCCTTACGTGGCACACTTCACGGTTTATAACGCTGCACAATATGTATTATTATTATTGTTATAATGTATTGTCATTGTAGGAAAAACTAATTTAGAACTTGTGATCAGTCTCTCTCCTGAAGCTTTTTCCAATGACTTTACCAGTCTGCAAATTGTTTCCAGAAGACATTTGCCTTTATGAGCTGCTTGTATTTTTCATACTGTACATCCCAGCATGATCATTGTTAATTAGTGTCATGCTTCTATGTAGATGACTGTGTTTTACTACAAGCAGAATTACTTCCCTTACTAATGGCTCTTGCTGTTACTAAATTCCTATTCCAATAAGTATGGAATAGCATGAAAGTTCATTTTTTTCTTCCCTCATTAGATCTCTTCACTACCTTTGTCTTACCTGAAGTGGTTGACTGGCAAAGTTTCTCTTTTGTAAACAAATGGATTAAACAGAAAGGTGTTGGATTAAAGATGACAGACCCCAATCTGATCCTATGAAAGTCAATGGCAAATCTCTTATAAGCCGCAGTGAAAACAATACCAGGAAGAAAAGAGGCTCTCTGGGTGTAATACCAGTGTGATTTTTAAAGGAAAGTGGAATGTAATATTCTTCATCTCCTTTCTTGTTTTGGGCTACAGTTCTGCAGGGTAGCACTTCTGATGAGTTAGCGAGCAGCACGGCTTTTGAACAGGGATTCTGTGAATGCTTTATTACAAATAAAAACATAGTGCAAGAATTCATGCTATTCATCTTAGCTTGAACATACTTGAGTGGAAGAAAAAAAACCACTGAGCAGAGCATTGTTTGTCTGCATAAAGGCCTACTACACGTGAAGCTGCTCAAATACATCATATAGACTAAATTAGGGCTGAGGAGGGAGAAAGAGGTAAGTAACCCCCTCGTGCACTTTGCAGCCCTGATTCAGCTGGTTAACCTCAGGAAAGAGGCACAGGGGAACAGCGGCAAACACTGACGGGCAGAATGCCGTAGGGTATGCACCAGGCTTCAGAGCTCATCCTGATGGCTCGAGGTTTGGACACACTCACGACTGCTTATTTTCTTGCTAAGTAATTAATTGCAGTACACTGAGAGTGGCCAGCTCTCCATCATGCAGGAAACAAAAAGTCTGGCAAAACCTGGATAATATAGGGCAACAAGGAACAAGCAAATAATTTGGGTCTTAAAGGTCTGTCCTTTGAAATCTTAGATTGTCTGATGTTGCTCTCTTTAATAAATGGATATTTTCTAATTTCAAGTTAGTTACAAACTGCAGAGAAGGAGAGGGGTAAGGGCGGGGAGAGAAAGATACTGCTTTACATCACTCATGTTTCTGCTCTTGAAAGTAAAGCACTGGAAAATGTTATTCTGTAATTGTTCAGCTATTTAGTCTTCAGTTCTTCTTTCCAATAACTCAATTTTTAGGAAGAAAAGTATTTTATTTAATGACTTCTTCACAACCTTTGAGTTGAATTATACTTTGCTCATACTAAGGTTTCTCTTGAAACAGCATGCTTGTGGCTATCCCCTATTATGGAGCGTGTATCACGATTCAGTGTGTGGCTGATTAGTGTACAAGGTGAGGGGATATTGTGCCATCATGTGGTGTTTGAAGGTGTCACCTGTTCTTCGTCCCCTGGAGCGAGAGGTAATTGCATTTCTGCCTAGGCCAAGTGAAAGCTAGCAGATCGGCATTTCACTGGTTAAACACAGTCTGATGTCCTGCTTATACTTTATTTTAGGTTTATGATGCTATAGATCTTACATATTTTTCTATATATTACTTTTTGGAGTATTTGGAATGCTACTGGAGGTATTATTGTTCCCTAAAGTTTTTGCAGGCACCTTTTTCATAGATATACGATAGGGAGTGGTAAACAACAAAAAAAAGTTCCTATTCATACTTTTAGCTCATGAAGTAACAGCACATCCATTGAAATTTAAATCAAAATGGGGACTGTGTCACACACTATAGCTCTCTGGAAAGCTACAGTGGGAGTCTAGCAGTCCAATTCATTCCTTTGTACAATGTACTAAGGCTAATGGTCTTGCTGGGAGTAAAATGTATTTTTTGCAGAACAGTTTCAAGAACAGACTCTGCTCTTTACCAGAAAACATAAAAGAAAACAAATGCTTACTGTGTCTTTAGTATGCTAAATATGAAATTCTTTACACAATGGAATGTTAGCAGTAGCCGTAATCATGTTTTCCTTTCATCACCTAGTGAATATAATTTTAAGAGAGGACTGCTGTAATTGTATTTCAGATAAAAGGAAGCAGAATTTCTGGATAATACTATAGTTGGCCTGATTGTTTTGTTGATAAGGAAAAATAAAGAGAGAGACCACATGAATACTTATTTAACGAACAACATATTTATTAAGCAGTGCAGACTGTACAAATTGCATTTGACTTTGGATGCAATGCAGTAGGCTTATTTGCTTCAAACACATTTCTCAATATTTTACTACAGCTATTACACTGCCGTCTTATCTGTCCAGCTATTCAATTATTTGTATAGTACGTCTATTGCACAACACTAAAACATTTAGCTTAACTACAGTCGCCAGTGCAGGTACAATCAATGTCAGCATCCACAGACTCCACAACATCCTCAGATGCAGATTTCTTATCACTGCTTCTCTGCCATTCTAGCAGGCTTACAGCAGTATCTGTCAGAAGAGCGAAGGCATTGTTAACTAACATCAAGCAAATTAACACGTTTCAAGGAAATACTGTTTTGATGGCTGCCAACTCTTCATCAAGTAAAGAATGAAATCCTGCCCCCACAACTGACATCTAACTGACTCATTGACTTGAAGCAGGATTTTCATCCATGATATAATTACTATAATACTTCCCTAAAAACAAAATGAATAATATTTCATGAAGCACAAAGACAACAGGCAGGAGCCTGTAGAAGTGCTGGAGGTAGCCACCTTCAAAGCAAGACCACCATGTATAAATACACACCAGCAATCTTTTTTTGTGTTATTGCTGCATATCACTGCATATTTCAGCTCACTATTTGTTGAAGTTCATTCTGAAGGATAAGCCCTTTGGAGAATTTTCAGAGGTTCATAAACTTCTAATTAAAGTTTCCCATATATTGTGAAATCTGGCCGAGCATTGTCAGTTGCAGTATTAACCTTACCACACTGCTTTATCAACAGCAGCTTGAATAAGCCATATCCCTTAGTGCTGAAATAATGTCAATGGAATAATAATATTCATCCTCCCAGTAAATATTCTTAGGTAGATGGAGGTTTATCATTGCATCTGGAAGAATATTACGACCTCCATTTAGATTAAGTTTGCATAATGAGAATGTGCAAAGCTTTCATAATTTTATCTCTTATTTGTTTTATCCTTCAGTTGGACAGTACATTTATAACATGCCATCTCTCTTCACAGGGAAGTCTGGAGGCCCCTGTATAGTTTTGGGTGGTATCAGTCAGTTTTCTCCTGAAATGCTAAAAGTCTCCTTGGTTAAATTACTGTCCCGCCTGAAGCGTGAGTTTTACATAAAATGCAGAATCATAAATATTCCCTGAAAATTGCTTGCAATGCTTTTTAAAAATATATAATATTTTCAAGCTATGAAATGAGAGCTGCTATAAAGAAGTCTGAGTTCTGTTTTTTTATATACATTAATTCTTGTTATGCCTCTTACTTGTGTACACTGTGGGTTTGATCACATTTATATCCATGTAGGAAATAGTTCCCTGGGCAAACTGGATCATGACAGAGTAACTGATCCATAAGGATAGGGCCTGTGGCACGTTTGAAACATAAACCAGTACGTGGACTTAAGATTGGAGTGAAGTCTGCCTCAGTCAAGATCCTAAGACTACAGACTCCCAGATTTCAAGGATAGCAGGGGAAACTCCGCATCCTTGTACTTCATTTTGTCCTTGCTCCACTGCTGACAGTGATGTGGTCCCATTCTTTTGAGACAGCAGACTCTCAGGTCTGAGTTCCCCTATAAAGAGCTGAGAGAAAGTTTTTGCCCTGTGTATGCAAACAGAAGTTCTCAACTTGAGAGAGAAGGAGATTTTGTTTCTGCTGCTACTCTTACTCATCAAAGAAAGAAAGAAAAAGAATGTTTTTTAAACATTGGCATCTTATTCCTATTGATCCTTAGCCCGAGGAAAAACAATCCATCTATCTGTTATAAAATACGAATGGCATCTTTTCCCTGCCTCCTCCTCAGGATAAATAAATAAATAAAGCCCTTGATGAGGAGTGCTGCTAGCAGACCTCCCAGCCTCTGGTTCAGTAAATGAACCAGAGAAGCCTGCAGTCAGTGCAGCAGTGTAAAAGCAGCACTGGCTGCGACAACTAACATATCTTTTTTTCTGATTTTTCTCTTTTCCTCACGCTTTTTTGTGAAAGAATAAGACAGCTTTATTATAGCCTAATATTCTGAGGCAGTGAGTGGCCTGGGGTGATGACATTTCAGAGATAGACTTGGACACACAAAGAAATCTGTGAAAGATGGATATGACAAGATTTAGAAGGGTTTTTTGTTGGGGGTGGGTTTTTTTCTTTTCATAAAAGGATGCATCTATTCACATCTCAGGGAGCTGTCAGAAAACTATTAGCACTCTCTCTGTGCTACTTGTTGAATCAGTTGTTGGAGGAGGCTGACTATTATAGAAAGATACTCATTGCTTTTATGGGCTGATTCAGCACATTGTGAATATTAATGATATGAGCAAATTGTAAAGTTCTGTGTAGATGTTGTTCAAAATCGGACATAATTTCCCTTCACTGTAACTCAACATAGAGATTCATTGCCTTCTGTGAAACTACACTAGATTGTCCCAACTGTTGACTTTGCTAGCATGGTTAACAGAAAACAGACCAGTTTAGTAGGTATTCCCTAATGGTAGGTTACCTTTTAGGGTATATATGCCTGTGTGATCCATTAAAAGACTTAGGAAGGAATGCAGCAAAAATGCCTGTAGGTTCAAGGCTGGATTCTCCTCTCATGCTTATATAAGTTTAATGTAAATCTGTATTACAAAATATATTGCCTCCATGACAAATCAGAGTAAGTGAAAGGAGAAAAAGGCCCAGTACTTTGAAAAATCTTGAGCACAAATGTGTGTGTATAAAATATCTTCAGAAAAAAAACCATTTTTTGGAAACAATCTAGAGAACATTTCAGCAATGTGTTTTTTGCTGATGTATTGCATGGTGGCATAGCATGGCAGCCTAATCACAGCAGTCATGTCACACTACTTGACTGACTTTCAATTGCCTTGCTTGCCCTGGTCTACACAAAATTGCAGGCTGTAATGTGCATAAAAGGACTTAGTGCTGCTTATCACAACTTTATGGAGATCCTGAAAATGTGAAAAACATTTCATCGATGACTGTTGCCCCTTTTACCACCTCTGATGTTTTTCTCAGATGATGCTACCTGCCATCATCCAAACTAGCTTTTAGCTACCCAGTACTGTCAGTGGTTACAGCAAATACGAATGGGATTAAAAACAGCAGCTCAGGGAGCTGCAGCAATACAGGTCTGTGCGTGGCTGTGCTGTGTTTTGTTCTTTCGAGTATTCTGACAGAACTCCTACAGTACATGACACAGAAAGAGAAAAAAATATCATACCTTTTGGGAAACAGTGGAAGCCAACCTTAACTGAAGCTTTTTCAATTGGAGTACAATCTTTCATACATTTCAGTACTGGGTCAACAGAGTAGCACGTAGATTCTTCTCCATCAACAGTAGGATTTCGATTCAGCTTCACATAACTGCGCTGTAGTTTGCACCCTAAGAGGAAAAGGAAAGGTAGTTAAAATTGTAGAAATAAATCCCAATCGATCCTTACAATAATAAAGGTCCATATTTTCTCTTCAGCTTTTATTAAAACACAGGTCCCCAACAACCCATTTTCACAGTAGTGAGGTTATCAAGATAGGATGATAATAAGTAGGGGTATAGAGGAAAGGTTTTGAAAGGCGAACTATTTTTAAAATCGAATTGCACAATATAACCCAAATGGAATAATGTATACCCAGTTTTTTAGAACTACATAATACACAGAAAATAACCTCTCATATCTGAAAGCTATTAAGAATAGATACTGTCATCACAATGGCTACTTAATTGCATTACGAAAAATGTCAACTGTTGTGAATGGATAAAAAAATGGCAGCATTTATATAATAACATCAAGGATAATTTTTGTATTGGATGATTTTTATAATGTGGCAATTATCTCACTAGAAAGGTATAATGTAACTTAACAGGATCCCAGCTATGACTGTTTCCTGACATACAGATAAGTACAATTCTGCTGCTACTGAAGTCAAGGAGAGAACAGCCATTAACTTCAATAAAGTTGTCTCAGGTCCAAGGTAAATGGAGACGTACGGAAGAAAACTGTAGTGATGTTAAGGGAGACCATGATTATTTTTCCAGCTCCACATGACAGGAAACTCTTTTGCCTTAGGAGTATTTCTATTTCCCTGAGATTGCTCCCTCAGATGGTGCAGAACAAAAATGAAATTGTGTACACTCTGAAAATTTATAGAAACTTAATATCTGACCTACTGCATTCATATTCATTCTGTGTGACCTTTATGATGGTTGCAACTTGTTTGATTAAATGAGGTCTACAGACAAAAGCCGAGACTGCTTTGATTGGTGAAAATTCACACTGACTTCAGTAGGAGCAAAACTAGGCCAGATTTTGCCTCCTGAAGAAAGAAACTACTCGGTGAAAGAAATTATAGTTGAATCAATTGCTTAACGTTGAACTGCACATGAGATAAAGACTTTTGTTGAGTACAAACTCTCTGTTCACAGGCAGTATTTTAAACAGTCAGTAGTTAATGAAGTTAAAATGGACATGTACTGCTATTGTCTTTTCTAAGTAAAAGATATCTGCTGCTTTTTTAAAAAAAATCTTTCCAGCTATTGGCAGTGGGAAAGTGAAACTATTCTCCCCAAGCATAAATTACTTTCAGATCTACTCACCACCAGAGCAGGTTTCTTCTAGCAATACCCATGAATGAACAAAAGCAGAACAGCTGTGTGCCAGCTTATGATTTGGCATTACGAGTTCATTGTGCTTTTCTCTGTCATTATTTCCACAAACTCCACAGGTCTTTCCTCTCATCCATGAAGCAACAGTAACCTATAAAATAGCACATCTTTGTAGTGCATACTGAAGCGTTGGTCTGTTACATTGTCAAGGTACTAAACAGAAAGAAAGCTAGTAACCTTTAAAAAAAAGTCCATTACCTTAAGGATCACCCCATCAAAAGTCACATTCTTCAGTCCATGTGTTGGAGCTTCCACGATAACTGTTGTCCCATTTTTATAAATTTTAACATTGTCTGTAAAAAGATGGTTCATCATAAGGTAATCTACTTAATTAAAAAAAATGGAGAAACTGAATAGCACAACATACATTATAATGCATTTTCTTTTGCAATAATTTTTTTGCTGTCACACATGAATACACACATGTATTTCCTTCTGCAGATATAAAGAAAAATAGAAAAAATGATCTCTTCATTTGTAAAAAAATCTTCTACTGTTGTTTCCCTATGGTTGAAACTGATTTTTGTATCCAGCTTATTAAATCCGGAAGTGATAATGACATCAGTGAAGCTCCAGCTAAGTATCTGGCCAAAAGCATCTAACTGTGATTATAACAAGCACTTGCTTTTATGCAGGCACCAACATGGGCGTACCAGATAAATAAGAAAGGGCTTTATTTACCTCCCAGTTATGCTAGTGAAAGCTAAGAGTATATCTACTATAGGAAATATAGGAACATAAGTCAATGCAAATCTTAAGAAAATGAAGTCTGTAGTTTGTCTTAATCACACTTGTATTTTCTTTACATTGAGATGCTTCTGTAAAGTTTACAAAAATACAGTCTTGAAGATATTTCGTTTGTAAATCAGTCCTGGAAAGGTGGTATTGCGGCTTACCTTTTTCATACTCAGCATCTCCAGTGTGTGTTAGTACTGGCTCTTCATTGCATGCCACAAGGAGAGATGAATCTGGTGCAGGACAGATTGTGATGTTTCTTGAGAGAAAAAAAGAAAAAAAGTCATGGTTAATTTAAAATGTGAAAAGCATAGATATTCATCACCAAAGTGAACAAACAACCAATCTAAGCATCTGGATTTTGAATGAATGAATGAATCGCTTTCTTTCCAAAGTCCAAAATTCATTGTGACTTTGGCTATTGAGATTCAACTTGTAAAGCAAAGACAGAATGGAGACTTGTTGAGCAGGTCATCAGATAACTGATGGCTGTGAAACAGAAGACAAGGGCAACTAAACAACAGAGTTTCAAATGAGGATTCCTTCTGGGACACCTCTCTTTCCCCAACATTTGACTGCAAACTAATTTCACGTGGGGGCGAGACATCTCCCATCCCCAGACTAACGCCCTAAAGTTTTATATCTAATTCTTTAGCCTTCAGATAAACAGCACTTACAATGAGCTTGTATTTATGTGAACCTCTCTTGAGAAGGACTTTGGATCAACCTTTTTTGTAGTAATGATGAACTTTGGATGTTCGGTACAGTCTTGGGCCACTATTAGGCTGCAGCTTTTACTGAAAGAATATGTATGGTTCATATGATCAAATGTTTTGAAATCTCCCTCACTGACTTCACATGTGGCTGCAAAACAAAACCGGAAATGAAATGGCAGATGTAACAACGGCATGTGTGTTGCTGCGAAGAATCTGAAAACTACCTCGGAGATTTGTTTATCCAGAAAATAGGAAAGAAATGTCATGTCTCCTAAGCAGAAGTTTTCAAAGCCGCCTAAGTCTTTAAGGACAGCATAGCATTACAGAATAATGAAGAGATGTCGATTTTGATTACATGCTAAATACAAAACTCAAGCTAATAGTGATTGAAATGTACTAAATTCTTGAAAAACCACGATAAAAAAGTAGTTAACGTTTCCCACAAGTGCTAGACATCAGCCAGTAAAAATACATATGGCTCTTTTCTGAAGAAAATAAACAGGACAGAAATTCATGATCTGTCTTTACCCATCATCTGATGCCTTTCAATGCAGAGATGGCAGCTTCTTAGAAGGGGCAAAAGACAATCTTCACTGCTTGCAGAGAGGTGTGATTCCTGAACTCTGAAAACTTATATTAATTTGAAGTCTCTTTATTCACCTGCCAACAACAGTGCTTCCAAGTCATGGAAAGAGTTGTTGACAAAGCAGATGTTATGCTTCCCTTACAAAGAAAGGCAAGGCCCAATGATGGCAGAGGATGGATCTACAAACATTGCTTATTTATGAGACAAGTATACAAGTAATACTTACATTGATCTTCTTGTGCTATTTGTGAAGCTATTTCAGGAAGGAAATTCCAAGCAGTAATATCTCGAGTCTCGTAAGTTGGAGATGGGCCTAAGGGCAGAGTGAATGGAATTCGGAGTGCCTGGTAGTAAAGCGTTACCTGCAAAAGCAGAAAGGAGAATACATAAGAACCATATCATTCAATATATGACTGCAAACAAACAGGACTTTTGAAAAAAAAAATCTTGAAGAGGTATTTATACAATTGCTGTTGTGTTAGTCTCTTCAGGATGCACCCAAACCTTAGGCTTTTGTGAGGAGTCATTGTCTTCTGTTTTAGTCTCACTTCCTGACTTTTATGAGTAATTGTTAAGGACGCTGGAAGCTAACACAAACAAATGAAGTTTAAGTGATAGTTAAGTGACTTCTTAAAAAACAAGTTAAGTAACTGGGTAAATAGAAGGATGTGTCTGGAAAAGTAGGCAGCATCCATTACAGGCTGAAAACTGGCATGACATGCCAAAGTGGTAAGATCCCTTCCCGTAGTTACAAACAAATTACATTTACCAAGAGAATCAAATTAATGCCTCATGTGCCTACCGCTTCATTACCATATATTAAAGATCCTGCAGTACTGAAGCACCATTTAAGGTTAAAGACACACTAATTTCTCTGTTTATGAATAGCTAGCTGTTATTAATTTGCCACAGATACACAGGGGAAATTTTTCAAAATGGTACACAGGGATTTGGTGGACAAGGGCCAATTAATCATTGGATTCCGCAGATAAAGCCTATGCAAGCTGCTCTGAGAGTGCAACCTTTCTAGTCTGGTTAAGGCAGAGTTGTGTAAGTAGATGTCACAACTTGATCTTGCCTGTCTCATCAGCTTGTTCACTGCAGATGTTGGACTGACTTAGGCACAAACCTGGGTAGAGGCTCTACATGGTTGCAACTGAGCATAACGTAGATTTTGTCAATATCTGTTATCTGCTCTTCAGCTCCATATACCCATATACCACACAGGACTAGTCACACTATGTAAAAGTAATAAAGGTGTGAGTGCAGAATAGTCACACTTCAGGAAATTTGAGCCTAACTGCTGTTCGCTGCGTGGAAATAAAGTATTTGACTACAGAGTCTAATTTGCAACTTCAGCTTATTGCTATGTTACACCAAAGCAGTAAAAAAATCAAGGCCCACATATTTCAAAAACCTATATATTCAGGGATATAGTAGCTTCTCTAAGAGGTAATGTTTTGCATTTTTTTTTCTTTACAGTAAATATCAAAATGTTTATTAGCTGAAAATCCATTCAAGGTGAGGAAGGGGAAAAAAACTGACACATACCCCTGGAACTTTAATTACTGTATCAATTGTCCGTGGAGATGTTGCAGCTGCCCTTACTATAAATTCATGAGATGGATTTCTCTGATGTGCTTCTGAGAAGCCCAACATGAGTGCTGCTCCAGGAACGTACTGCATGAATCTAGAGATTAACAAGATGTGACAAACTCAAGTCCATGAGCAAAGCATGAGGATTACTGGCAGTTCTGAAAAACTGAGAAAAGAATGGGTGAACTGAAAAGTCAAAGAAATATTACTTTGGGTCAAACTAAATGCTTGGTTTTATCCACGGGAAACACACTGTTCTAATTTTAATCATTTTAAGTTTTTTCTTTTTAGAGACAGAATAGAAGGAAATTTCAAAACAAAAAGCCATTTTGAACTGAAATATCAAATAATTTAATTTTGAAAATGAAATTAACTGTGTCAAGTTTCTAAATACTTGAAGGATATCTTTTAATATGAAACATGTGAGAGGAAATAAAAAACATTCAGAAAATATTTTTGTGCCATTGAACTTGTGTTTTCCATCAAAACAAAAAAGTTTGTGTTGAAAAGTTTCATCCAATTCTTTTAGTGTTTTTATAAAGCCCAACTACTGCAAGGTGTGCCACACAACAACGTAGAAGAGAGCAAATTACATACGCCATGCCCGTCTTCTTTATCCAGGACGGAAGATTTCCCCATTGCACCTTCAGCTGAACGGCCGGTTTCCTCGCCAGCTGGCCCGTGGTAGCCCTGGCTTCTATTCTGTAGTCTCGACACTCCTTGCCCCATCTCAGTCTGGCCTTTACCAAGCAGAGAAATAGTCATCCGAATTTCAGAAAAGAAATCGCAGCACAACTGAATACCATTTAAAAATGCAATGCTTTTCTGAAACTTCAAAATTATTCTTGGTGCTCCTAAGTCTGTCTTTTGCTCTAAATATGCTCATGGAGAAGTTTTGACTACCTCTGGAAAAATCTGAGGCTGAGTAGAAAATGAAGTTCATGATGCTGTGCTAAGCTACATGTAGATGTTTCTTTTCCAAAGCAGCCACTGAAACATTGTGACCAACAGGAAAAACTGCCGGACTTCTAGAGAAGCAAACAGGTATTGAAACAAATAATGAAGAAATAATAAATAAGTCAATTTTAAAATTTTCTTCATACTTCTAGAGGTCATATTTTGATGCATCTTGAAAGTCAATGTTTTTCTGGCCAGTTAGACAGTGGTTGCTTTTTTCTTTTTTCTTTTTTTCACTTTGAAAGGATAGCAAAAGATATGAACATTTTTTGAAATGTCATGAACATGTTGTGAAACACATTTCAAAATATGTATGGTTTCCCTGTTTGATTATTCTAATCAGCAGTTGCTATATGGTTATTCAAAAAATTCTACGCTGTCTGGAGCTCTCGCTTGGCAAAGTTGACTGTGTGCTTACCTGTGCTTTCAGAGGCAGTATTACAGCATCAGCACATGCTTTCCAGCTGGTTTCAGCCAGCTGAACCACAACTAGTTGCACATCAACTTTGGCAGCTTCAGAACGAACATATGCTGTAGCTTGATAACCTTGATTTCTGTTGTCACTCCTTACTGCCTGTGCCACAATCGTAATGCCAGGTGGAATTACATCTCCCAGGAAGTTGCGCTGAAAAACAACCCCCAACCATCTGTGCTTAAGTATTTCTCTGTATTCACTTGGGAACCTACAGTCCAGTTTATGCT